GGGTCTAGACCCAAAACGTCAGCCTTCCTGCTCCTCTGATGCTGCTTGGCCTGCTGTATTCATCCAGCTCTACACCTTGTTATCTCTCTCCATTTGAAGGGTTGTTATTAAAATGGCTTGTACATGGACAAGCCTCCACACCTTCTGGCTCCAAGCTCACAAGAACAAGTCTTAAAAATGATACTCGTGTCCCTCCCTTATCAACACAAGAAAATATAAAGTGTAAACGGTTTAAGTTAGGTATTATTCTTAATAAGAGTAAGTGTATTACACACACACTGTGTGTGTGTGTGTGTGTATATATATATACACATTTATTGTAAGTGACTGCCTTCCCTGTGTTTGTCCCCATTTTAACAATCCCAGGACTTATTTTTAAATGGTTCTTATAATTGTTTATTGCAACACAATACTTTTTAAAACTTTAGTTGCAAAATAATGAAGTGGTTTGATTACTTCTCATAGAAAGCAAGCAAGCCAGTGAAAATGATGTACCAAAAGAAGAAGTTCTTTATCTCACATATTCAAGAATTTAATCTCCACATTCTTGAGCTGCCATACGTTGGTAACGACTTAAGCATGATCATCTTGTTGCCAGATGACATCATGGATGATTCTACAGGCCTGAAACAGGTACTCCATCTTTTTATCATTTAAAGTTAACGTGGAAACGCTGAGCAGGATCAGTCATTCAATACTACCGTGGCTACTCCCCTATCTAAATGCCATATTCCCACTTCTTCCTCATAGCCCTTGATGCCTTTAAAATCTAAAAAGAAATGATCTTTTTCTTGAATCTGTTTAGCGTCTTGGCTTCTGCAGTAGAGAATTCCATCAGTTCACTACCCTTTGAGTGAAGAAATTTTTCCTCCTGTCGGTCCTAAATGGTCTACCCCCATTCCTGAGACTGTGTGTATCCTTGGTTCTAGATTCCCCAACCAGGGGAAATATCCTCCCTGCATTTTGGAGTAAATTACTGCAGATGCTGGAATCTGTCCTGAAAACAACAAATACTGGAGATCACAGCGGGTCAGACAGCATCCATGACAGTCATCTAGACTCAAAATGTCAGCTTGCTCTCTCCATGGATGCTGTCTGACCTGCTGTGATCTCCCTGCATTTGGTCTGTCTGGTTGTACATATCTTATATGGAGTTAGTGCTTTCACGTAGAAATGTCAAATCCTCACTCTCTGCAGTTCAAAGATATCTTAACAATGAAGAATATTTATAGAGGAGCTGAATCATTTAATTGGTGGTTAAAAAAAAATCTGTTGTACACTTTGGAAGGAGCTGGTAAATTGTGTACTCAGTTTAATGTGTGTACTCTTTTACTGTCTCCACCTGCATAATACACTCTCTTGTGTATTTAGGATGAAAGCATTTCAGTTTTTGAGGTTAATCACAATGACTGTTTTAATCCTCAGTGGGTTTATCGTTGAGCACATGCACCATACAGACCATGTTTTACGTGAGCTAATTACATCAAGTTCGGACGCTAACATTTCCATTGCTCCCTTTCCTGTTTATATTGCATTTTAAAATTCATAACATTAATGTGTAATGGTGTCCTCTCTAGGACCGGGAGAGGAACATCAGGCAGGGATTGTACCTGTAACTATTGTCTATCATACCCTTTTCAAATCCCATATCTGTGTTTCCAATCAGTCTTGACTTGTAGCCAGTGGGAAATGAGTGGAGGAGCTACTCCCACCACAGAGTTAACATCAACACTAGAGAAAGGTGGGGCAAGCAACAAGGGAATCACATGAAGCACTTGGCATGATTTTTGGCATATCTGACCTTCAAAGTAAACCTGTTGTGGTCACCCATCTCCCAATGCTAATTACACTTTGTCAACAGCTGCTACTCTTATTTGCATCTTCTGTGTTTACATCTAGCCATCAACTTCCCTTTTCCAGCCTTTCAGCCTTCTGACGATCTTTCACAAATTTCATTACTCACTTTCCTGATCAGGTTTGCCACTGAGTAGCATTCATCTATAATGTCCATCTTAATGTTTTCTACTTCTTTTAGCTGTCTCTCCTTTCTGAATTCTACAAGTGCAAGAACAATGACGGTCAGAGATGCTCCAGACCATCCAACCTGTCTCTCACAATTGTGATATCTTGTGTATGCTATTACACATTGTGCACCTGACTCTCTCTATTCCACCCAAAATTCAAGTGATCTGTGGGAGAGGTAGAAGAGCAGATTAAAAACCTTTTGGGGATGGGGGACAGGAGGAAGTTGAAACTAGTCCAGGAAATCATGGTACCCCTGACAGGACCTGATCAAGTGTATCCCAGAATTTTGTGGGAAGCTAGGGAAGAGATTGCTGGCCTCTTGCTGAGATATTTGTATCATCGATAGCCACAAGTGAGGTTCCTGAAGAGTGGAGGCTGGCTAACGTGGTGCCATTATTTAAGAAAGGGTAAAGAAATGCCATGGAACTAAACTCCGGTGAGCCTGATGCCACTGGGGTTAAGTTGTTGGAGGGACAGGATTTACATGCATTTGGAAACGCAAGGACTGATTAGGGGGAGTTAACAGTATTTGTGCATGGAAACTGTGTCTCACTAACTTGATTTGAATTTTTTTGAAGTGACAAAGATTTGAAGGCAGGGCAGTAGATGTTGCCTGTATGGACTTCTGCAAGTTGTTCAACAAGGTTCCACGTGGTAGAGTGTTAGCAAGGTTAGATCACATGAAATCCAGGGGGAGCTAGCCCATTGGATACAAAGTTGGCTTGAAGGTCGGAGACAGAGGATGGCAGTGGAGGATTGTTTTTCAGACTACGGTTTTGTGACCAGTGGTGTGCCACAAGAATCTGTGCTGGTTCCACTGTTTTTTGTCATTTATATCAATAATTTGGATCTGAATGAGGGGCATGGTTTGTGAGTTTGCAGATGACACCAAAATTGGTGGTGCCATGGACAGTGAAGAAGATTATCTTGAGTACAAGGGGACCTTGATTAGATGGGGCAATGGGCTGAGGAGTGGCAGATGGAGTTTAATTTATATAAATGTTAGGGGTTGTATTTTGATAAGGCAAATCAAGGCAGAACTTTTACAATTAATTGTAAGGCCCTAGGGAGTGTTGCTGAACAGGGGGCATAGTTCCTTGAAAGCAGAGTTCCAGGTAGACAGGGTAGTGAAGATGGCATTTGGCATCCTTGCCTTCATTGGTCAATGCATAGAGTATAGGTGTTGGGATGTTAAATTGCAGCTGTGAAGGACATTGGTCAGGTGACTTTTTGAATACTGTGTTCACTTTTGGTCTCCCTGCTATAGGAAAGATGTTGTGAAACATGGAAGAGTTCAGAAAATATTTACTGGGATGTTGTTGGGATTGGAGGGTGTGAGGTATAGGGAGATGCTGAATAGGCTGGGACTTTTTTCCCTGGAGCGTCAGAGGCTGGGGACAACCCTTTAAAGAAGTTTATAAATTCATGAGGAACATGGATAGGGTAAATAGCCAAAGACTTTTTTTCCCTGTGTTGGGGAGTCCAAAACTAGAGGGTGTAGGTTTAAGATGAAAGGGAAAAAAATTTGAAATGGACCCGAGGGGCACTTTTTACACAGAGGGTGGTGCGTGTATGGAATGAGCTGCTAGAGTAAATGTTGAAGAGTAAATACAACATTTAAAAAGGCATCTGGATGGGTACATGAATAGAAACGGTTTACATTGTGTGCCAAATGCTGGCAAATAGGAGTAGATCGGTTTAGGATATCTGGTCAGCATGAACAAATTGGACCAAAGGCGCGCTCTCTCCGTGCTGTATAACTCCATGTTGTGTTACATCTCCGAGTTGGGACATCAGTACACCTTTAAGACGCATTCTCATGCTATTATCATCGCACGTGACCTAAGGTCTCTGAGGTTAAGGGGTCATATTTAATCTTACCTTGGATCACTTGAAGCATGTCTCTCTACTGGAAGCATTCTTCTGCACAATGGCTCAGTGGTTAGCACTGCTGCCTCACAGCACCAAGGACTGGGTTCAACTCCAACATTGAGTGACAGTCTTTGTGGAGTTTGTACGTTCTCCCTATGTTTGCTTGGGTTTCTTTTGGGTGCTCCGGTTTCCTCCCACAGTTCAAAGATGAGCAGGTTAAGTGGATTGGCTGTGCTAAATTGCCCATAGTATGCAAGAATGTACAGGCTAGGTGGATTAGCCATGGGAATGCAGGGTTTGGGTGATATGCTCTTGGAGGGTTGGTGTAGACTCCACGGGACAAATGGCCTGCTTGCACATTGTAGGGATTCCCTGATTTTTGTTGCAGCCTAACAGTTCAATATTAGCCCAGAGACTTGCGTGCCTGAGGAAGTAATGTTTCTTCAAAACAGTTAGCTGTAAGAAATATCTGTTGGATTCTTTAATGCCATATTATTCATTCCCAGTTTCTTGTATTACAAGAGACAATTTAAATATTGCCACATCAGGTGGAAGCAAACTCACGGCACCTGGTTATTTTTAACTAAGCACTTTTTTTTTTGCTTTGTGACTAACTTGTATCTCTTCTCTTTGGTGTATCAGCTGGAGCAGGAACTTACATTAGAAAAACTGCAAGAGTGGACACATCCAAACTGTATGAGAAAGCTGGATGTTCATGTTCGTCTGCCCAAATTTAAACTGGAAGGTGACTATGAGCTGAAATCGCCGCTGTCCAGTTTAGGCATGGGGGATGTTTTCAACAGTTCGAGGGCCGATCTAACTGGAATGTCTGCAACCCGTGACTTGTATGTTTCCAAAGTTGTGCACAAGTCTTTTGTGGAGGTGAATGAGGAGGGAACTGAAGCAGCAGCAGCTACAGCAGTGATGATTCAATTCTGTATGGTGATGGATGAAGAGTTTTTCACTGCTGATCATCCCTTCCTCTTTTTCATCAGGCACAACAAAACAAAGAGCATTCTGTTCTTTGGCAGGTACTCTTCTCCCTGAACACCACCTAAGCAACACTACACAATAAAACCTGAAAGCAAAATGTGGAAATACATTGTCATTAAACATGAAAGAATGATCTTAATAGCAATGATATTAAATGAATGCATTTTACTTGGTGACTCTTCTCTATAACAAAAAGACTTTTACAAATAGAAGAGATAACCAGGTGTACAGCTGGATGAACACAGCAGGCCAAGCAGCATCATAGGAGCAGGAAGGCTGACGTTTTGGGCCTAGCATTTCTGATGAAGGGTCTAGGCCTGAAATGTCAGCCTTCCTGCTCCTATGGTGCTGCTTGGCCTGCTGTGTTCATCCAGCTCTACACCTTGTTAT